CCAACTGCAAGTTTCCTACTGGTCTTCCTGCTCCTTCCTTTGCTCCATAAAACTTATTCTTCACCCTAAAGTCAAGTTAATCACTTTAAAATGTTGAGAGGCTGATCAAAAACACGCCAACGGCTTTCTACTGCAATTAGGATAAATCCAAACTTCTAAAGGTCCTGCCTCTTTAAAGATCTAATACTTTCTTCTTCACCTATCAATCAGCTTTACTGTTTAGCTTTCTGTTCCTTTAATGTGTTGCTCTGACCTGAAAAACTGTATGTCCCTCAATCTCATATGAATAAATCCTAGTCCCCAGAATAATGATAATAAGAGGTACAGGGGCCTGTTGGTAGTAGAACACACACTTAGCATTCTTATAGCCCTGGGTTCAATTCCTAGCACCAAAATATAAACAAACTACCCTTATTACCTTATTAACTTCCCTTATAGGAAAGGCCTCAGATTTCTCTCCTACTCTGTACCGTGAGGAAACAACAGTAAGGGATCTATGAACCAGGAAACAAGCCCCCACCAGATATGAAATCTTTTATTGCCATGATCTTAGAATCCCCAGCCTCCAGAACTATTAGGATTAAATATTTGTTGTTCACAATCTACCCAGCACACAGCATTTTGTTACAGCAATGCAAATGAACTAAAGCGTGTTCCATTCCCATTTGACTTCATGCTTTCTTCCCATTTTCCCTACCAGGTACATTCTCTCCTCAGCTTTTTAAAAACCTAGCTGACATCTTCTCAACCTCAGCTCTTTGTTTTGGATGACGAAAGTCTCTTCTTCCCTGACTTCCTAAACTACTTTATCTCTTGATCACTCTCCACTTAGGCTATCTGCACTTGTCACTTCTTGAAATCATATTCTTTATTTGTTCACCTGTCTACTGTCTATTTCCTTCCACGGGAATATAAATTCCAACATGTCTAGGCTGGTGTCTGGTTGCTATGTCTGAAAAATGTCCACCATAAAGTTGCTTTATGAAACATTTGTATTTACCCAATAAAATATTTAGTTAATAAAACATTTTTCAAAATAATGAGTTTTGATTAAAAAAAGTCATTTCTGTGGTGAGGTGCAATAAGTATTAAAAATCAAAATATAAAATGTAAGCTTTTAATCAGCATAATTGCAAGAGCCAAAGAGGCAGAATGAAAGTTAGAGAAAGACTAAGGCTGTAGCCAGTACACTGCCAAAAGGAAAAAAGAATACTTCACTCTTTTGAAGAGACCCCTTTCAGAATCAAACAAATACTGGGTCTCTCAAGAAATGCAAGCAATAGTTGAGCATCCTTAATCTGAAAATTCAAAATTGAAATCCTCCCAATTCAAAGCTTTCTGAGAAACAACAGGATTCTACAAATGGAAAATTCCATTCCTGACCTCACTAGAGTGGCCAAAGTAAAAACCCAGTGCAAAAGCTACATAAAATGACCTTCAAGCTTTGTACTTAAGGTTCATATGAAACACAAACGCATTTCCTGTTTAGATTTGGCTCCCATTCCTGGGATGTATCATGTACATGCAATATCCTAAGTCCCCAAACTCTGAAATAGCAACACTTCTGATCTTAAGCATTTCTGATGAGTGATGTCTAACCTGCATACACAAACCACTTCAATATTTGCCTAAAAGCCAGGGCCAGTGCCCTTTAACTGATAAAGGCACTTGTGCCTGAGCCTGATGACTGAGTTTGATCCCCAGGACTCACAGTGAAAGGACAGAACCAACTCTCACAAGTTGTCCTCTGACTCCCACATGTGCACTGTGGCATGTGCATACCCTAGCAAGCAAGTAGACAGTGCGCACCCACACCCACACACACACAAAATGATTTTTTTTTTAAGAAAAGGAATTCCCGCCGGGCGGTGGTGGCGCACGCCTTTAATCCCAGCACTCGGGAGGCAGAGGCCGGCGGATCTCTGTGAGTTCGAGGCCAGCCTGGGCTACCAAGTGAGTTCCAGGAAAGGCACAAAGCTACACAGAGAAACCCTGTCTCGAAAAACCAAAAAAAAAAAAAAAAAAAGAAAAGGAATTCCCTAAAGTATTTGCAAGTGATGATGCCCTGCAGCAGAGAAACAATTAAGATGTAAATTAATGTTGACTAGTGAAGGGGGAAAAGGGTGAAGAACATGAGATCCAGGTAAAGAATATGCGCTATACTCTGACACAAGAGTAAGAAAAGCAAAAATAAGTGAAATTTTAAATAAGTGGTTAAAAATCTGAAGAATTTCATATCTAGTGGGACTTCAATTTTTTTTTCAGTGAAATAGACGTTAACATTATGTTTAAAAATATCATCAAACAGGGGCTGGAGAGATGGCTCAGAGGTTAAGAGCACTGGCTGATCTTCCAGAGATCCTGAGTTCAATTCCCAGCAACCACATGGTGGCTTACAGCCATCTATAATGCAATCTGGTGCCCTCTTCTGGCATGCTGGCATACATGCAAGCAGAACACTGTATACATAATAAATAAATAAACCTTTTAAAAAAAATATATCATTAAATGGTTGGAAAGGATAGGGAGGCATATATGATCAAGATACAACAATGTATGTGTATGAAATGTCATCATGAAACTATTTTGTATCTAACTTTAAAAAATTAGTTAAAAATGTATCATCAGGGTCAAAAAAGTACTTACAAGTATGAGGGCCAGGGTTCAGATCACAGAAGTCATATAAAAAGACTAGGCACAGCAGTGGAGTGTGTGTCTGCAATCCTAGTACTGGAGAAGCAATGGACAAGAGGCTCACTGGGACTTGCTGTTCAGCCAGACCACTAAATTGACCAGCTCCAGGCTCAGTGAGAGGCATTACCTCAAAACTGGGTAGAGAGGGATTAGGGGAAAAAACCCTTCTCAACTATGACCTCCACACACATGTATACACATGCATATAACAAACACACAAGCACACACATAACACACAAAGTATCAATACTCTAAGGCAAACTGAGGTACATATTAGGTATTTTGCAAATGTCTATTTATTATATTGATACAATAATTGAAAATACTAGAATGTTTTCTATTCAATTCTGAAAACTACTTCTGCAAAAGCTAAACTAGAGTTAAGTTTTTGTTTTCTTTTATTACAATTCTCTCCAGAAGTTTAGATTTACACACTCTTCAAGGCAGGCTTGAATTACCTAGCAGAAGACGTGATAACTGTACAAAAATATTATGAATGTTGTGTTTATACTGATGACAAAAATAAATGAGTATGTTTCAAGAATTTACTTCAAATAAAATATTAAAGCCACAAACTTTTCTTAAGGTTAAAAAAAAGAAAAAGAAAACCAAAACAAAACTTTCCAGTCATTCCAATCCAACCTCCAAGCTCATCTCCTTTCTACAATGCAGTCTCTAGAGTAAAGAAACAACTTATCTCTTCAATGAGCATGAAACAATGGCCTTAGGAGAGGCAGTGTTTATCAAGACCTCTTAGAAACACAAGAAGGGGGTTGGTTGTTTTCTGAAGGCCTTTCTGGACCAAAGGGGTTTAGTAATATAGGACTTAGACTAACAGCGTAACTAAAACAAAAAGAACTACCTTTCAAACTGCCTCCCTTCAAAACATGAGATGCATATATTTTAGTAACCATAACCCCGTCAAAGAGTATCGCCAAAAACAATTTTAAAACTCTACTATCCACCAACAGTAAATTGTGGTATACTTTTACAACTGGATACTAACCAGCAAACTAACCAGAAGCAATAAGGACAAATTTTTTAAGTGTTGAGTAAAGAAGCAGTAGAATACCTGTTCCAATTCCCTTTATATAACGTTCCACAACAAGGCAGACTCTAAGGCGTGTGTTCGCATAAGATGATGATGAAACTACCAGGAAAAGCAAGGGAATGGCTAACATTGTCAGACCGGGGAATGAAGAGCATGTGATCCGTGAGGGAATAAATAACACCTGTTCTAATGGCCGCTCCTTGTGGAGGACCTTAAAATCAAATTATTTTCAAACAAACTAAGGCAGAAGACAGAAAACAGAATCCAGAGGCTTTCTTTGCCTGGTTATATTCTGGACTACAACAGTGATTCTTCTTTGGAAAGTTAAAAAAAAAAAAAAGTTTTGAAACTGCCATTAAATAATATCAAGGTTGAGGGTTGAAAGGAATATTGATTGATGTAATATTGATCTTCTTATCTCTTTCTCAATAATTAAGATGGAAGGATTTAATTCATTGCTCAACTAAAATCAAACAATTATGTTTTGTTCCTGAAGCAGAGTTAAATGAGATAACTTCCCTTTATACTGTCAAATAACCTCTTCTACTTTGAAATTACTGTGACTTTATTTCCTGAAAGTGAACAAAATGTACTCGAAATCCTGAAAACTAGAATAAATTTAAAACGACGAATATCGTGACACGCAGATCTGCGATGGGGGGGGGGGGGTAGTAAGAAAACACAGAACACTGTCACTTGTGCAAACTAAGTCTAAATCCTTGACTGAAGGATATATACAAATACATATTTATTTACATATACTTCGGCGTTTTTAGGTATCAAGTGCACAACAGCCGCCTATTTGAGACTTAAAAAACTTTTCAAACAAAAGCCCTGCCTTTCCTCTAAACAAAGCTCTAAAAGAAATTCTGAGATTTCCATGCAAAAATCTCAATCTCTGCCTTCCCCTGCCTCCCAGTCTATAAAGAGACTGGGGAGATCAGGGGGTCAGGAAAAGACAGGTTGAGCTTCCAAGTGCCTCGGCATCACCCCACAGTGTCTCCAAGCCAAACAGTCTCCCAACAACCAAGCTGAGGCAGGAAGCGAAGCGGTCACCATAGGAACTGGGCTCGATCCTTAGCTCCCCAGAAACTGGAGTAAGGTTTGCTCCTGGAAGCCGTCCCACCCGGCCGGCTGCCCGCGACGCAGCCGCTCACGCAGCGATGCCCACCCCGGGGGCCACCGTCAGACCCCCAACACCTCTCCCCACCCTCTTGCAGCCGCCCCGGAGTGGCTCTCCTCTAGCCCGGCGCACCTCCGTGCCTTCTACCTGGAGCTCTGGAGCCCTCCCCCGGCCTCCCGGGCCATCGTCCTCCCCGGAGCTCATCCCGGCTACTGACGGGCCTCCCGCCCTGCGGGAGATCCAGGCCGGCCCCCTCGGCCTCCATCCCCCGCCCCTGTCTCCTCCTTCCCATCCCGTGGGCCCCGCCCCGGCGGAGGCGGAGACTCGGCAGGTCGCAGCGGGGGAAGAGGGCGGGAGCGGTTAGCTCCCGGCTGGCCGACGCCCCGCCCTCACGCTCTGTACCTGAAGGGGGCTCTCCTTCCACCTCCCCGGCGCCTCCGCTCCACTTCCGTCCGGCGCGCCCCCAGCCCCCGTGCGCACGCGTACCTGGCTCGACACGCCCCCTCGCGGGGACTACAAATCGTGCGCGCGCACCCGAGCACGTAGCGACGTGGACAGCCGCCGGCCCGCCTGTCCGGGCTGCGACCAGAGGCCTTTTCCTGGCCCATCCGCGCCGCGCAGGCGCACGCCCACGCAGCGCCTAGATGGCCGACCCGTGCGTCCTGTCTCCTAGTAACCATCCTCTAGCCGGCGCCTTCACGGAAGCCGCCGGACGGCGCATGCGCGGTGGCCGTCCCCTCCCCTTCGCGCTAGAACTCACCTGTTGCTTCGAGGCTTCCAGCCGGCCCCTGGAGCCCGAGGTGTTCCTGGCTGAGGGAAACGGTTACTTCCTAGAGCTGCTCCGGTGCGCAGCTCCTGCCACGGTCAGGAGGCTGTTCTGTGCGAGCCTTCAGGTGGGGTTCCCTGTTGCAGCCTCCCTGAGGGAGCTGCTCTGTCCTGGTTGGGCCACCCCTCGGCCTGGGGTCTGCCCACCCAGTCAAGATGGAACTGGGAAGTGCCAGACCCAGCAATAAAACTCACACTCCAGGCTGGCGTTTCTTCTTCTGCCAGCCCTCCTCCACGTTCCCTCTTTAGGAAGACAAGAAAGGATATAAAACCTCGCGAGACGTTAAATACTGTCTCTAAGTTTTTACCCCAAGTTTGGCTTCTATCAGTGAGCAGACTTGGGCCTTCTTTTAGCTTAACCGGTGTGGTAATTGTGGCTATCCGGCTGCGTTAAAAATTGCATCTTGAAATCAAAAAGTGGAAAGAAATGAGCGCTGGTGTATGCTGCCAATTTTTAAAAGTTTAGCGTCTATCCAGCTAACTCAGAAGCTTGCTTTACTCCCTGTGTTTTTACTTATGTTTATTAGAATGCAAAGGAAATGGGTTTCATTGCGGCATTTGCACTCATAATTTGTTTCTGTTGATCCTTCTGCCCTTTTTCTCCCCATCCCCTCCCCACTTTGTTTTGCCTTTCTCCCCCAGTGGTCCCCTGCCCATCTGCTCTCATGTCGCAAGTGTTCTCTTACTCCCTAAACCCCTTTCTTGTCCCTCACCTCGCAGTTTCATGACCTATACCCGCACCCACACCCTTCACTACCCCCTACTTAGGTATTTAAAGCTAGCCTCCGCATGCAAGAAAGAACATGTGGTATTTGACTTTGCAAGTCTGGGTTATCTCATTTAAAATAACTTGCAAATCCATCTATTTTCCTGCTAATTTCATGACTTCATTTTTCTTTATAATTAAGTGAAATTCTATTGTATATGTATAGTGTTTCCAATATTGACTCATCTCTTTGGGACATCTAGGGTGGATCCATTCCCTGGCTATTGTGAATAGAGCAGCAAGAAACATGGATGTGCAGGTGTCCCTGTGGTTGGATATGGAGACCTTTGGGCATGTGCCAGAAGCAGTGTAGCTGAGTCATAAGGTTCTAGTTTTAGGGGTTTTTTTGAGAAGTCTTCACACTGATTTCCAGGGTGTTGAGTTTGCGCCCCCACCAGCACTCGATAAGGACTCCCCTTCTCCACATCCTTGCCATACATTGTTTCCTTGATAATAGCTAGCTATTCTGATTGGGGTGAGATAGACTCTCAAAGTAGTTTTAATTTGCATTTCTCTGATGCTGTTGAACACTTTTTAAAACATCCGTTGATCATGTATGTTTTTTCTTTTGAGAATGGCCCATTTCATTAGCCCATTTATTGATGGACATCTTTATCTTTGGGGGATTTAATTTTTTTCAGGTCTTTGTAAAGTTTAGATTTAATTTTTCTATTATTATTTTATGTGTACTGGTGTTTTGTCTGCATGTGTGTCTGTGCACCACATACATGCCTGATGCGCACAGAGGCCAGAAGAGGGAGTTGGATCTCCCGGAACTGGAGTTACAGGTGGTTGTGAACCACCGTGTGACTACTAGGAATTGAATCAGTGTTCTCTGGAAGAGCAGCTTCTGCTCTTAAATTTTAGCTTTTAGCCTGCTGTCTGAAGTACAGCTAGCAAAGATTGCCCACACACACACACACACACACACACACACACACACACACACACACACACTGTAGTGACCATGCCTATTCACTAGTATCGGGGACTAAGGGGGCCCAGCCCCTCGATAGTCCCCTCCCAGGGTCTGGGAAGAATCTACAACCAGCTGATAATTAATCTTTGATGAGGAGAAATGAATCTATGTACACGAAACTCCTTAGTCCATATACTTTATTATTCTGTGTCAGTTACAAGCTTATATTCTGCTCTCATATTTAGGTCTTTTCTTGCCTGATTTCTCTCTACACTTGTCCGAGGTCCCCTCTGGGTTCTATCTTAATTCCTTCATCTTGTTCTGCCCCTTCTAGGTTCTCATCCATCTTGTTTCTTCCCATATCATCTTCTCTCCCATCTCTTTCTCTCTCCTCATCTCGTTCTTCCTCATCTTGTTGTTCCCCATCTGGCTCATCCTCATCTTCCATCTCATTCCTCTAGTACTCTCTTCTAACCTTCAATCTAGTTCTTCCCCATCTCAGTTTGTTCCTCTCAAGTTCTTACCCGTCTAGTTCTTCCATTCTCTTTTCTCTTCTCTGACCCCCTGTGCCCTGGAAGTCCTGGTATATAAAGCCAGGCTTCCAGGGTCAAACGGAAGGGTGATAAGAATCACATAGGGAGGCAACAACCGTTAATTATCATTTGCAACCCCAAAGGGAAGTGACCAATGGGGAAATGAATCAACTAAAGGCTGAATTTAGGTAATATCTAAGAAGAGGGCTCTTATGTGCTCAACTATAGTCTTAAACGTGATTGGTAGAAAATGTTAAGAATCTATAAGTTGCTAGGTCAATGGGAGAAAGTAAAACTGTCTTCTTTTTTCCTGTGGCTCCTATCTGTCCAAGCTATCTGCCGTTTTTCTGCAGGGTGGGGGAAAGTGTGCTCAGTCGCTAGGCAACCTGTGTACAGCTGGATGCCTCTGGTGATAGTTAAAGGGAGATCTGGAACTGGAGGTAAGGTTTGGGAAAGGAGGAAGTAACGCTTAATTGGCACATCCACCAGGCCTTCTCAAACAGGTAGCCTGGATGGTTAAGTCTATTCTTAGAGAATACAGAGGTATCTCTGATAAAGTACTCTCCTCCATCTGGGGATGGACCTGGCCGGATGCTGCTAATGATGATAATTACAGGGAGGCTTGAACTGGGGTTCTGGCTGAGCATAGCTGTCAGTGCAGGAGGTTATCTAAATATTCCTAGAAGTGGTTAGGTAAGGAGTTAGCAGTCTATAAAGTTAGTAAGGCTGTAAGAAAGAGGGGTCCGAGCTGAATTGTGTAAAGCTATTACTTAACGTCCACCTGACCTAGGTGGTGTCTCCTTGTGGAATTTACCAGGAGACTTGCATGTGGACTGTTATTACTGCTAGTCCTTGAAAGTGGCCAAGGGAGATATCTGATTCCAGAGAAAGCCTTTCCTGAGGCTGTTCTCCAAATGCCTGGAATGTGTATGTCTAAAGAGTGATCAGTCCACATTGTTAGCCGTTCTTAGGGAAAAGTCAATTGGGAAAACTATGAAGGCACACATGATTTTCATAACAGAAGACAGCTGATATATAACAAGCCAAGTAACACCAAAAACTCCTTGGGATTTGGCTTCCTCTGGAGGAATTCCCTGATTCCTCCAGGTAGTGACTTTGCCATAACCAGCTGAGTTCTTATGATATATTCCTGCGGCCCGCAGCACACTAGGCTGCTAATTTCCTTTCTTTACTATTCAGAAACTTTTAAAATTTACATGATGAACCTGAGAGTGTCTGTGATCCCATCTTCCTGTCTTTTTCTACAAATAACCATATAAGATTTTTGCAGCTGTCTTCTGATGCTATAGTTTAAACTTGTGCTTTTGGAAAGTAAAGTCATGTTGGTGGAGACATAAGAATTATTTCGACAGGTGGTGGTGACACCTTTACTCCAGCACTCAGGAGGCAGAGCCAGGCTGATCTCTGTGAGTTCAAGGCCAGCCTGGTCTACAGAGTGAGTTCCAGGATAGGCTCCAAAGCTACACAGAGAAACCCTGTCTTAAAAAAAATTCATGTTTCTCCTACATGAGTACTCACGTATCACAAGCAAGCAAATTTGTTAATTTTTTTAGGGAAGTACACTTAAATATAACTGTCTTATTTTTCAGTATCTATATTTTTTCATAAAGTATTTTTGTCTTAATATATTTATACCATTTTTAAAAATTACTATTTATTATTTGTAAGCTTAATAGATGTTATAAAATTAATTTTAGTGTCCTAATTATTGTAGATAAAATGGACAAAAGACCCCAGGGAGCATGTTTTTTCTGAAATAATAGTAATTGATTAAAAAAAAATAAAAGTAATGAAGAAGCATGGGCTCTCAGAGACCATCCTGAAAAGTTCGGGGGGAATAATATGTAATCCATAAACTGAATTCAAGAATCTGGAGTAGGATTATTGAAAACAAATAAGAAAGAATGTACCAAATTCAAAGCTTAGCAGTTGAGCTGGAAGTGCAACTCAGTGATAGAACACACACTTAAGGAGAGCCTGCTCTGATCCTCTCATAAAAACCACTCTTGTTTGGAGCTGAAGAGTTGAGGACAAGAATGAAGATTATTAATGGTAGATAGAGCCAGGAGCATAATTCCCCAGGCGCCATAGTTTGCATTCTATTGCTATGATAAGCACTGTGACCAAAAGCAACTTGGAAAGGAAAGGGCTTCTTTGGCTTATACATCCTGATCACAGTCAAGCATTAGGGGAAGTCAAGGCAGGAACTCAAACAGGAGCAGAGGCAGGAACCTTGGCTGCTTACTGGCTTGCTCAGCCCGCTTTCTTATACAACTCAGAACTCTCTGCCCAGAAATGGCACCGCCACAGCAGTCTGGGCCCTCCTACATTCATCTTTAATCAAGGAAATGCCCCAACAGGCTCACCTACAGGCCTATCTGATACAGGCAGTTCCACAATCAAGATTCCCTCCCTTCCAGAGAGTTTCCACTCTTTCCATTGGTCACGCTAACCTCAGCCACGACTCTTTTCAACTGAAAACTGTTTTCTGGTGCCAGGATTTGTGTACATGTTTGTAATCCTGGCACTTGGGAGGGTAGAAGCAGATGGGTAAGGAATTAAAGCCAGTATTACCTCCAGTGAGTTCAAGGCCAGCCTGGGCTACATAAGATCCAATTTCAAAAAATAAAAATGTATGGAGCTGGAAAGGGTGGACCAGTGGTTAAGAACACTGGCTGCTCTTCTAGAGGACCCAGGTTCAATTCCCACCATCCACAAGGTGACTCATAACCGTCTGTAACTCCAGTTCCAAAGGATCTGGAGTCCTCTTTTGGTCCCCACAGGCACTATAGGTGCACACATAAATGCAGGCAGAACACCCATACACATAAAATAAAACCAAATCTCTACAATAAAAGTTATATTTTCATTGTTGAAAGTTTGATTTTTTTAAAGAAATCTTTCATTATTAAACACACCCTATCTAAGTTGGACATTGGTGATGCATGCCTTTAATCTCAGCACTCAGGAGGCAGAGGCAAATAGATGTTTGAATTCAAGCCCAGCCTGGTCTACAGAGCAAGCTCCAAGACATCCAGGGCTACACAGAGAAACCCTGTCTCAAAAAACCAAAAGGAGCCAGATGTGGTGTCACACGTCTTTCATCCCAGTGCTGGGGAGGAAGAGGCAGGCAGATCTCTGTGAGTTCGAAGCCAGCCTAGTCTACAAAGCGAGTTCCAGGACAGCCCTGTCTTGAAAAACAAGCAAACAAACCAAAAATTAAGAAAAACATATCCTGTGTGTACTTTGCTCTACCATTGTCTTGGGAATATAAAAATAGTTTAAATAACTGTGTTAAAGTACTTGCATACTAAATTCTTTAATTCATGACATTTCTAGATTTGTTTCTATTAGCTTCTTTGGACTCTTAGTTACAGGTTATAATTTTTCCTGCTTGTTTTCATGCCTAAAAAGTTCATTTTCAATTTTTAGATTAGTTAGCATGCAAAATAATAGGTTTATATGACATTTACATACATACATACATAGATAAAATTGCAAAATCCTATTTTGCATTTTTCCTCACATTTGCTCCCACACTACCCCACTTGTTCCTTTCCCTCTCTCCCCAGGACTCCCCTTTGTACTTTCATGTCATATAGGGTTTTTTATTATTATTTTTTGCTTGTATATGTGGTTTATGTGTGCATGTGTTTACATGGGTATGGAAACACATTCATATATTGTGTAGGCATGGGTGTCCTGAAGTTGATGATGTCCTTGATAACTCTTACTTTTAGTGAGGCAGGATCTCTCCAAGGTCCTGGAGCTGTCTAATTCTAGCTAGTCTAACTAGCCAGCCTGCCTCAAGGATGCTCTGTCTCTGTCTCCCAGACACTGGAATTGCTGACAGCTGTCATGTCTGCCTGGCTTTTCTGTGGATTTAAATTCTGGTCCTCATACTTGATGGCAAGTGCTTTATACACTGAACCATCTCCATAAGTCATATCTATATTTTTTAAAAATCTATATGAAAGGATAAACGGTGCTAACACTATATCATGCATATGAAAGAAAGTGTTGTGTTTGTCTTTCTGAGCCTGGCTTATTTTGCTTAACATAATGTTCTACAGTTCCATCCATTTTCCTACAAGTGACAGAACTCCATTCTTTATGTCTGAAGAAAACCCATTTGTGGACATATTCTGCTTTTCCTCTATACACATTCAACTGTCATTAGGCATCCAAGCTGTATCTCTATCTTGATTGTTATGAATAGTGTAGAGATGTGCAAATATCTCTCTGGAGTGATGATGTATATTCCTTTGGAAATACACACAAAAGTGATGTAACTGGATCCTGTGTGTTTCCATCTTTGGTTTTTTTGAGGACTCTCCATACTCATTTCCATAGGGTCTGCTCCAGTTTTCATTACAACCAGCAGTGGATAAGGGTTCTTCCTGTCCTCTCCTCTTCTATCTCATTTGTTGCTATTTGTTTTCTTGACAATAGACTGGGGCAAGATAGATCACAATGCAGTTTTAATTTGAATTTTCCTGGTAGCTAAGGATGTTTGGTGATTATTTATTTAACACATTAGTAACGAATTAAAAGTTTTTATTAGCAAGAATGATAGATAGGACTGAGAGAAGTTGAGAAGCTCTATTATTTTTTGAAAAGGAATAAACATAAAATCAAGAAAACTTACTTTTAAAAACCTTTGGGGGGGCGTTGGGGATTTAGGTCAGTGGTAGAGCGCTTGCCTAGCAAGCGCAAGGCCCTGGGTTTGGTCCTCAGCTCTGGAAAAAAAAACCTTCCAGGGACTGAGTTCAGCAGTTAAGAGCACTTGTTGCTCTTTTAGAGGACCTGGCTTTGGTTTCTAGCACCAACATGGTGGCCCACAAACATCTGTAACTCCAGTTCCAGGGGACCCAATGCCATCTTCTGGTCTCCATGGGCACTAGGTATGCATATTGTATACATATATACATGTAGGCACAGCATCACATACACACCAAATAAAACAAATTAATTAATTTAAAGTAATACTTTCAAGAGTATTGAAATACTTTCAAGTATACTTTCAAGGCTGACAAGATGGCAGAGCAGGTAAAGGCACTTGTCACCAAGCCTGGGAATCAGAGTTCAATCCCAGGACCCACATGGTGGAAGGTGAGAACTGACACTCACAAGTTGTTCTACATTGTTCTCTGACTTACACACACACACACACACACACACACACACACACACACACACACACACACACATATAAATGTAATTTTTAGAAGACCTTCAAGAAAATCAATAGGCCCTATATACCTTCCCCAAAAGAAAATGTAAATAAATATAAATGGAGGCTGAAGAGATGACTCATCATGTAAGTACTGCCCTTGCTGAGGATCCACATGGGATGGTTTACAATCTGTAACTGTCTTTAGGGGGATATAGCACCCCCTTCTGGTCTCCCTGGGCACTGCACCTGCATGCATAAACCCACCCATAGACACATTAATTAAAAATAAAATCTTTTCCTTAAAAAAAAAAAAGAACTGGAAGGAGAAGATGGTTTTGTGTTTTCATCACCAGTAGAGCATTCCACTTAAAGAATGATTGCCATGAAGTTGTTGATGTTCCTATTGCATTCATTTATTACCTGGTTTTCTTTTCAGTCATCAAATTGAAGAAACATTTCCACCACTTAGAAGGGGCCCTCACACTCCCTTGATGGTTGACCAGCTGTCCCAATGGGATTTTTGCTAAGTAAAGCTGCCACTCATCCATCTGCTGTGCTGGTGGATTCAGAAGTGAACAATCACTTAATGCAAGGAGCTGAGAAGCGTGGATTGGAACCAGTGACTCGGTTATTTCAAAACACCAAGAAAATAAAGTTAGAAGACACAAACCAAGAAAACTTCACAAGAAAGGAAGGGATTGACAGAGGATGGAATGCCATGGGCTACGTGAAGGAAAATGATGGCCTAGTAATAACAGATTTGGAGTGAAGTCACCTGGACAGATTACCAAAGAAATCAAAATTACTTTTTTTTTGTTTGTTTGTTTGTTTTGTTTTGTTTTGTTTTTCGAGACAGGGTTTCTCTGTGTAGCTTTGCGCCTTTCCTGGAACTCACTTGGTAGTCCAGGCTGGCCTCGAACTCACAGAGATCCACCTGGCTCTGCCTCCCGAGTGCTGGGATTAAAGGCGTGCGCCACCACCGCCCGGCCAAAATTACTTTTGATTAGAGGATGTGTTCAATGTAGCTAAAGTCCATTAGGAAGCGTAAGAAAATGAAGAAATGGCTAAAAGGCCCTCCTAAATCCAAGGCAGATGTCTGCAGGGTATATCCTATCCCTGTCGAACACCACGCTTATTTTTACTAACAGTGTTTGGTACTAATGCACTTTACTGTAATTATAATGAACATTATAGCAAGTAGTATAAAAAGTGGATCTAAGCAAAACATGACTATTTCACATCTTTTCTGGTGAAGTACTTTTATATGCTGCACTTCCAGTTCAAGGGTTTGCTTTGGAGTCCTTTACCTTTCTAAATGTTCAGGGAGTCTTTCTGCTCTGTGAGAGAGCATGGTTGATGGCTCCTTAGAAAAGAACAGTGACCCATCTCTCTTCAGAAGCAGTTCAAACTCGTTTGTCTGTTTCTGCCATGCTACCTTCATTTCAGTGTTAGGACTTACTTCTTTCCAAATTAAATGTGTTTGTCTTACAGTAACTACTATTTTATAACAATATGTCATATAATAAAAACTTCTTTTATATCTGTTGTTAAGATATTTGTAATCTGAAACAATGGTACTGTCCCAAGTAATGGTAGATGAAATGAAAACTATTTTGTATCTAGACATATGGTGAACTGTAATTATTTATATAGTATATGGAGTTTGTTTGTTTGCTTGGTTGGTTTATTGTTGTTTGGTTTTGGTTTTGGTTTTGGTTTGATGTTGGTTCTTGAATTTAAGGTGTTGAACATGGTAAACATGCAACTCTGCTACTGAGTTCTACCCTATGTTTTGAACATGTTCTTGTATGCTAATATTTAATAGCTGTATCTATTGTATAATTGCATTATCTCTTTAACATTATTAAAAGATAGAAGGCATATTGGGATGGGAAGAGAACAGTATTTTATGAGGCAGGCCAATTCTAAAGAAATGAATCGAGCCTAATGTTAAAAACACAGTTAAATGGAACATAATGTAGATGTATCCAACCTTCTTATTAAATAAGAAACACAGAACCAATGCAAAGAAGAAAGCCAAGAGGTCAGAGCTAAGAGCTAAAACCTTACCCTTCCTCCTGCGGTGGTCCTACCTCTCCGAACCAGAGCTACCCCTGTGTTAAAGTCTTTATATAGAGTTCCTGTCCTGCCTTCTCATTGGTTGTAAACCCAACCACATGACCGCCTCCTCACGGCCTGTCTGTATAGGCCTCCAGGTTTTCCATGATTGGTATTAAGATTAAAGGCATGTGTATCCAATAATGGCTGTGTCCCTGAACACACAGAGACTTACCCAGCTCTGCCTACCAAGTGCTGGAATTACAAGCATACGCTACCACTGCCCTGCTTTCCTATGGCTTGCTAATAGCTCTGACCCCCGGGCAACTTTATTTATTAACATACAAATAACATTTTAATACAAATAAAATATCACCATACATACTTCTTTTTATTCTTCACAGAGCATAATTCTCTTTTTTCTTCTCTTATTTTTAATTTTATTATGTGTATGGATTCCGTTTTGCCTGTATTTATACCTTTGGCCTATGTGGTGCCTGGTGCTCATTGAGGCCGGAAGAGGGCATCAGATCCTCTCAGAGTGGAGTTACAGTTGTGAACTTCCGTGTGAGTGCTGGAAATTGAACTTGGTTCCTCTGGAAGAGTTGCTCTTAACCGCTAATTCATCTCTCCAACCCCCAGAATATAATTCTTTAAGAAAGAAAAAATTTCAGAAATAGGTCACTGGGCAGGATCTAGGATCACCAAGGAGATGAATTCTGAGTATGTCTATAAGGAAGCATCTAGAGAGGGTTAATTGACTTGAGGTGGGAAGATCCATTCTGAATGTGGCATCATTCCATGTGCTGGGATCCTAGACTGAATAGAAAAGACTGTAAGAGAAGTGCTAGCACTCATTGTTTTCTGCTTCTTGACTGCTAATGCAACATGACCAGCTGCCTCATACTCTGCTGTGCCTTATGCCCTCAGACTATAAGCCCCAATAAACAGTTCCTTTTGAATTACGTTGCTTTCATCAGATATTTTGTCAAAGCAACAAGTAATGAATTCACCTTATCTAAGATCATTCTTGGTGCTAGAGATAGAGCAAAATAGCTACTGCCTTCATAGTGATGCCAGAGAAGACATGTTATACAGCAATTATATCAAGTACAAAGTGTGTTTTGCCATGAGAAAAGCAAAGCATTCAGAAAGCCTCAACAACAGCTATAACATAAACTTGATTGTAGCAACTAGGAAGACCTCTCTGAAGGCGACGTAACTTAGAGTTAAGTGGTTATCCAAATGGATGATGGCAGTGGTAATCCAGGTAAAGTGTAGCAGGATATAGTTATGGGATGGAGAGAGATGTGACCAAGGAAGAGAGATGGGGGCAGATGCAGTGAGGTTTCATGGAGGAATGAGGGAACTCAGGACTGTAGATTCTGGATAGATCAAGCTTTCAAAGTATAGAACTATAAGATGGAGCTATTTTTTTTATTTAGATGCTCTTATGCCCTGCATTACACCATATTATGTAAAACTGTGTTGTTGGTTTTTTCTCAAGACTGATTTGTCCTGAGAGAGTCCATTTTACAAGCAGCTTTGACTCCACTTTGAAGATGGAGGATGACTGTGCACTTGGGTGAACATATAATTATCACCATCTGCCTTGCACCCTCAAGAAGCACAGACTAATAAATGACTTATTCTTGGGCGTAGACAGGGAGTCACTCCATAAATTTATCAAGGTGAATTGGTACTATAGGAGCTCATGGCTGTATTAAAATCATATCAGGACTGTCAGATTGGCTCAGCAGGTAAGGCACATGCCACCAAAGCCTGACAACTTGAGTTTGATCCCCAGAACCCATTTGGTGGAAGAAGAGAGCATGTTTTCCTCTGACCTCCATAGCATACACACATGGAAAACAGATCAGCTCTCTCCCTTGGACCTCATGAGGAGGCAGAGACCTATGACTGTGATTGTGATGGTCCCACTAACCTGTAATCTGACAACTCCCAGCTCTCCCAGGGGCTTCAGCTCTGCTTTGTCCCTCTGCTTTGTCCCAGCTGTTGACATAGGCTACTCAAATTGCCATCTGCCTGCCTGTCTGCTTGTCTGGACCTGTTGTCTGTCTGTCCACCCATTTGTTCTTTTGGACCAGTTCCTGCCCTTCACCACTGCAGCTAGACTCAACTCTACAGCTTAGCTCTGACCCTGACTCTATAGCAGCAGCCACACCCCTTTCCAAAACTGTCAGTTGATTCGGTATCTGACAGCCATAGGCTCCTTTGCATTTCTATCTGTTTCCCAGCTTTAGCCTCTCAGGCCTCTTTGAAATTTCTTAAAATTCCTTATTTCTTTAACCCTCTGTAGTCATTCTGTAACCTACATATATGCATACAGATAGATTGGTTGATTTGCTGTCTACTGTGTGTAATCTCAGAGTTAATATAGTAAACAAAATTTAAATGAAAGAATCTGGACTGAGCACCATGGCTAATGTCTTTAATCCCAGCCCTTGGGAGGTAGAGGCAGGAAATCTCTGTGAGGCCATTCTGGTCTATGTACTTAGTTCCAGGCAAGCCTGGCTTACAGGGTGAGACCCTATCTCACCCACAAAAAGAAGTTTTAAGACGATCAGACAGAATAAAAAGTAGAAGGAGAAATTCTGTTACCAGGGGACTATGAAGCATGTTTGAGTGTCATTGGAAATTCCAGAGGGTCCACATTATCCTGCTCCTTAACTCTAGTCTGGTTTTGCTGTTCCTGTTCTTGTAGCCACAAGAACTTGGGTGAAAGCCAGACGTGGTGGCACGTGCCTTTAATCCCAGCACTCAGGAGGCAGAGGCAGGTAGATCTCTGAGTTCAAGGCTAGCCTGGTCTACAGAGTGAGTTCCAGGACAGCCAGAGCTACCTAGAGAAGCCCTGTCTGGAAAAACACCAACAAAACAAAACCAAACAAACCAAACAAACAAACAAACAAACAAACTGTGGTTGAAATGCTGCTTCCAACTGCTTTGAATCAAACTGCCGCACTAGCTAATCAGCACCTGCCTGAGTGTGAATAGAAACCATTTTGAATTGCACAGTTTAGCCAGCTCCTACTAAAAGAAACCAGCAGAGGAATCGCCCAGTTTGCCCTTGTTATTAGTAAGTCGCTCATATCTGAGACGGCGTGCTACCCTGCAATAGCTAGCAGAAAATAATTGCGTTGCTACCTTGCTGCTGGGGAATTTCCCATGTACTTGATCAGAAAAGGTTCTGTTTCTTTTCAGCAGAGGTTTTCTAGCCCACAGCAATATGGAGCACCCCATACCCCATACGTAAACACCATTACCCCCGATCTGCTCAGGCCAGGTTATTATTTGGTCTGTATTGCAGCTAACAATTATTCCTTCGAATTCAATTTGCCTTTCAACACTGACCTTGAATTTCTTCACATTCACTATGAAGAGGTAAAGGCCCAGGGCAATGCCTACTACATGTTAGCAGAGTAATTGTTGACAGTCATGCCTGGTATGTGACCTGCCTGCTCTGGATTTCTGAGACTGCCTCAAAATTCGCTCCAAGAAATGCTCCTCTCTTCCCTTCGCCCTTGACAGCCTTCATCTCACTGTCATTCGAGGAACCCCATCTGTACTAGGGCTTTACATCTTTTGGTAGTTACTTGAAAGTGGCTTGCGTTCTTTCCGCGAATCTAGTTTTGGATTCGTTGACCTGCTGTAAGACACCCTTAATAAACCTAGGAGGGACAGGAAAGACATAGGAGCTCCTCCTTCAGGCTTGGCCACGCCCTTTCTAAGACCTGGGGGGAGCGGTACGTCCAGGGGGCGGGTCTTCCAGGGGGCGGGACTTTGTGGGGCGTGTCCTCCTGGGAGCTGTCCCTCGCTAAGGCAAACCTCCATGGGAGTGGCTGGAGGGGAAGAACTGGGTCACGCGTGCTGAGTGCTCCAGGTCCCGGGTGTGCTGATTGAGCTTTAGTTTGCAGAACAAAAGCTACGGGCGAGACCGGAAGAGGCAGGTGGGTGAAGCCGGAAGCAGATCTAGCAGATTTATTTGCTAGCTGTGGCAGCACTCGCTGAGCGGTAGCGGGTGCTGCGTGTACCACGTGTCCGTCACTTGGGCCCCTCGGACTAGTACTGAAAGCTCTGCTGGTTACCCCCGGTGCTCCGGACGTTGTAATTTCACTATTATGAACAGTTGATTCTATTAGGGTGTTGGATAAACTAAGCAAGACATTGAATGCTAGTCGCGTGCCTGCTCAGGAAGGGTACAACTTGATTAAGTCCGTAATGAGATTCCGGGCTTGGATCGCGTTGTCAAGGAGCTAGCAAAGTTTTGGTAAGGCCTTGTGAGGAAGGTGGGCCTGTGGTTTGGTTTTGCGTTCCTCTCTGTTCGTGGAGAAGCATGTCTGGCCGTGCAAAGTGTCTCCCGGAACGTGGAACTGCCTTCTGAGAAAAAAAAAATTATAACACTAATAATGAAGATGAAAACAGAGACCTGGGGGTTGCTCGGCGGTACAGCTCAAATCTAGATTGAGCAAGTTCCTGAGTTCAATCCCTTGCACAGCTAAACTTTTAAAATACGAGTGTAGATGATTGTATCAACCACACTCCAGCGCAGGCACCATGCCCAGGAGTAGCTGTCCAACACAAAACTAACTCCATAGGCTTTTTGTGTGAACTTTTTGTTCCTTGTGGGGAAGGGAGTATTTTTCTGTCTTATTAGTCTTTTGCTTATTTTTATTTTAGTTTTTGTGGATTTTATTTGTTTTTTAAAGAAAACATAAAGTCGGTTGGATAGAGAGGTGGCAAGGTCTGGCAAAGAGGGGGAGGGGAAGGAACATGAGCAAAATACATGAAAAAAATTTTAACTAAAAAAAATAAGAGTGTAGAGAGAGGTGCAAAGTAACTTTGTAGAAGCAAAATTCTACCAGGCTTTCAAAGGATGGACTGTTTCATTTAGTCAGGAGTCAGCTACAGGAGAACAGAATAAAAGAGAAACACATTAGTCTCAGAGGGTGTGGGCATGCCTTCAACCCTGAAGCAGAGTCTCCAGCACTAGTTCCAGAACAGCCTGGGCTACATAAAGAAACCCTGTCTGGGGTGGGGGCATAATGTGTTCTGATATCTAAAACACTTTGTGGCACTTACTAATCATTCCATCTAACTCCTCAATCTTGATTCACATGTCACCATTTTAATGAGGCCTAGATTAACAATCCTCTTTAAATTTGACTCACGTACAGATTTCCAGCCCTCCCTAATCTGGCCCTGCTTTTTCTTTCCTTGTAACTCTTATCACCTTTATGTGGTTCATTGATGAATCCCAGAATTTGACAAATTGATACCTTTGTTGTAGTTAATTCACACTGTATATTTATGCCTGGGTAAATGGAGTTCTTTTAAAATATGATTAAAATGCATTAATTAAACAA